CTGATAGAGGAAATGGTGGCCACCCAGTAACTCCACAGTATGTCCCCAGATGGTTCTTAAAGGGCCAGCAGCAGCACAACACAAATCCATTATGCCCAAATCATGTCTTTAAAGGGCAATACATCCCAGGGGCCATAGTCACATGGCAGGAGGCTGGCAATCAGTCTTCTCCAATACCCAGTGGCAAGGTCGGTTTACCTGCCAAGAATGTGGTATATTAATATAGTGGCAGGCTTATGCAATGTATGATCAAATACTGTAACTAAACCCCCATTATGTTTGGCTAGGGCAGGTGTTTTTAAATAAACACCTGCACTGTTTCAATTTGACTGTTTCTAATCGTCTGTAACTAATGTTGAACAGTTAACGTTTTCAATACTTGCAGCTCAAGTCTGGTTTTCTATGTTTCGTGTCCATTCTCATATACATACGTTATGTTTATCTCAGGTCTCTAGGGTGTCTCTTTCAAAGCCACGTTTACAAACTACCAGTTGATTCTGTTAGCATATTCCGGTACGTTTCGTTTAGCTTCCTTATGATGATTTCTGCTGAGGGGTATATCCAGGGCCGGATTAACATAGGGGCTGATGGAGCTGCAGCTCCAGGCCCAGGCCCAGGCCCAGGCCCATGGAATAGGCCCATTGATTTAAAAAAAAAAAAAAAACATTTTTTTTTTTTTTTTACATTTTTTTTTTTCACACACTACTCTTAGGGATTCCACCTGGCTTTTATTTTATTGCCACAGCCAGTATTTGGGGCTGTGCTGGTATTGCAGTGATACTGGCAATACAAATGCTGGTATTTTTATCAGTATAAACAAGAGATTACTCCGCAATACCAGCACTGGCCAGTAGGGGTCGCTGTGTGTGGAGAGAGGCAGGGATAGGAAGTTCCAGCATATCCATCCCTGCCTATCTATACTCACTGATCTGCAGGGGTGCAGCTACAGAGAGTCCAGACAGCAACTCCCACCCTGCAGAGACAGCCTACAGCTCAGGGAAGTAAGGGATGGGGGAAAGGCTGCAAGGAGACATACACTGAGACACTAAGGGACATTGGGAGACATTATGGCAGACACTGGGACACTAAGGGACACTGGGAGACATTATGGCAGACACTAAGGGACACTGGGAGACATTATGGCAGACACTGAGACACTAAGGGGCACTGGGAGACATTATGGCAGATACTGAGGCACTAAGGGACAATGGGAGACATTATGGCAGACACTGGGACACTAAGGGGCACTGGGAGACATTATGGCAGACAATGAGACACTAAGGGACATTGGGAGATACTATGACACAGACACATGGGGACACAGTGTCCCCATGTCTCCCAGCCAGTGTCCCTGGTGTCTCAGTGCCCCCTAGTCTCTCAGTGACCCCTAGTCTCCCAGTGCCCCCAGTCTGCCAGTGTCTCACTGTCCCCATGTCTTCTAGTGCCTCCATGTCTCTCATTGCCTCAAGTGTCACAATGTCCCCATGTCTCCAAGCTAGCATCCCTAGTGTCTGTGGCCCTGGTGTCTCTGTGTCCCCATGTCTCCCAGTGCCCCATGTCTCAATGTTCCCATGTCCCCCAGCCAGTGTCTCTAGTGTCTGTATCCCCATGTCTTCAAGTGTCCCCTATTTTCTCATTGTCCCCATGTGTCCTAGCCAGAGTCCCCTGGTCTCCCAGTGTCACTGGTGTCTCCATGTCCCTAGGTCTCCCCGTGTCCCTAGGTCTCCCCGTGTCCCCAGGTCTCCCTGTCTTCCTAGAGTCCTAGTGACATGGGGGCACTGGGAGACATGGGGGCACTGGGAGGAATCCATCTATACAGCAGAATCAAACTAAGTAGTTTTTTCGTGATTTTACAGCATTTTCTCTTATGTCACCCCTTGTCATTTACATCATGTGATGTCATCCATACATATTTAATTATGCAAATGAGTAAGGCCGGTATGTTTTTCCAAGAAAGGTGGCAACCCTAACTACTTTTCACATACTCTTACTTAAGTATGGAAACTTAAGTGGGATGTATGGGAACAAAACTTGTGTGGACTGGCTGACAATGAATATAGTTAAAGGGACACTATAGTCACCAGAACAACTACAGCTTATTGAATTGTTCTGGTGAGTAGAATCATTACCATCAGGCTTTTTGCCGTAAGCACGGTCTTTTCAGAGAAAATGCTGTGTTTACATTACATCCTAGTGATAACTTCACTGGCCACTCCTTAGATGACTGTTAGAGATCCTTCCTGGGTCATGGCTGCCTAAAATACATCCAAACATTCAGTGTCTCCTCCCTCTGCATGCAGACACTGAACTTTCCTCATAGAGATATGGGGAAGCACTGTGATTGGATCAGGCCACCACTTCTAATGATGTCAGCAGACTGCTTGTTTTTATGAGTCTAACAGCATGCAGAGTTACAGCTTCAGGCTTGAATATAGATTTTGCTATATTTATGGAGGCATGAGGGGTCCAGGGGGGGGGGGCTAGATGGTGGTGTTAACACTATAGGGTCATGAATTCATGTTTGTGTTTCTGACCCTATAGTGATCCTTTAAGGTAATGCTGACTTTGGTCTTTCTAACACTGTTGCATGTTCACTTTCTTCTACACTCACTACATACAGCTTTTCTCTGTCCCAGACCATATACCAGGAGCTTCTGCCTGCTAGTAAGAAGGTAAGGAGACAAGTGGACCAGCGAGTGCTAGGGGACAGTCCTTAGAAAGCATTGAGTGAGCGCATCATTAGATGCATTTATGCCAAGCTCAGAGTGCTGTCTGCATAGTATGCCCTTAGTTGGCCAGCTGCATGATTGGCAGGCAGTCTGACATGCATTTATGTCAGGCTGGCCTTCTAATTCTTTGAGCAGACATGTCCTCTTTTTGGGCATGTTTACCCGTTTTGGCAGGTTACGTGATTTGTGTCAGTGGCAAACCCTTTTACCGAGCCCATTGACTTCCTGCTTGATTGGACGTTGCTGTTAGGGGTTATGGATTTACTTGAAAGCTGAAAATATAAATTAGAGAGAGATTAGCCTAGGGTATGTGTTTTCTTATAGCTGCTGTTTTCTTTCTCTCCAGCACCATCTCCATCAGATACATGATGCTTGGGAGTGTTTTACTGTTTTTGGTCGATATGATTCTGTAATTAGGCCCGTCATAATTGTCAGCACCAGGCACACTGGGCTCTTAATCTGGCCCTGGGTATATCATTATGATAAAGTTTACTTTTGTGTTGCAGAATCACAGATATAGGCCAAATAGTTGCCGTTAAGCCCTCTCTTTTTTCTGGTGAAATTTGGACGAATTCCTAATTCACTAAGATTGGTATATGGGGGTTTGTTACTTTAAACGGTAGACACTAGAGTTGAGCGGACACCTGAATGTTCGGGTCCGGCGGGTTCGGATGAACTTTGAAAAAAAGTCCGGGTTCGGGCTCGAACTTGACCCCGAACTTGACCCTGAACCCAAACCCCATTGAAGTCAATGGGGACCCGAACCTTTGGCCACAAAAATGCCTCTAAAACTCCTGGAAAGAGCTAGAGAGCTGCAAAGGCAAGTAAAATGGGGGTAAGAGTAGGGCAAGTGCTCTGCAAACAAATGTGGATAGGGAAATCACTTAAAATAACATAAAAATTAAAAATACAGCTGAGTCATAAAAAATCACTAGATGGAATCTTTGATTTTAGTTTTGGAAGAACATAAATCAAAATCTAAAGCATGGCTGTCAGGAGGATCAACAGAATTATCCATTTGAGAGAGAGTTGGAGTGCAGGGTATTCTCTTTCATTGTTCAACTCCTGATGCAGGGAGAAAAGGCCTTCACAAGCCTCTGCTAATGTGTACCTAGTTTATACTAAGTGACCCATAGGTTGAGGAGGTGGTGACCGTGGCGGTGGAGGAGGAAGCAGCGGTGGAGGAGGAGGATGAGGTAGCCAACACTGTATTTTACGTTTTTTTTTTTTTTTTTAAATGTGGTAGCCCACAAAATATTGAGACATACAAATAAAGAAACATTTGTGGCCTGCGGTGCATTTCTTGCAGTCCTGATGCATGGAGAAATGCTCAACTCCTGATTCATGGAGAAATGGCCTTCACAAGCCTCTGCTAATGTGTACCTAGTTTATACTAAGTGACCCATAGGTTGAGGAGGCAGTGATCGTGGCGGTGGAGAAGGAAGCAGCGGTGAAAAGGCCTTCACAAGCCTCTGCTAATATGTACCTAGTTTATACTAAGTGACCCATAGGTTGAGGAGGTGGGGACCGTGGCGGTGGAGGAGGAAGCAGCGGTGGAGGAGGAGGATGAGGTAGCCAACACTGTATTTTATGTTTTTTTTTTTTTTTTATTGTGGCAGCCCACAAAATATTGGGACATACAAATAAAGAAACATTTGCGGCCTGTGGTGCATTTCTTGCAGTCCTGATGCATGGAGAAATGCTCATCTCCTGATGCATGGAGAAAAGGCCTTCACAAGCCTCTGCTAATGTTTACCTAGTTTATACTAAGTGACCCATAGGTTGAGGAGGCGGTGACCGTGGTGGTGGAGGAGGAAGCAGCGGTGGAGGAGGAGGATGAGGTAGCCAACACTGTATTTTATGGTTTTTTTTTTGAAATTGTGGTAGCCCACAAAATATTGGGACATACAAATAAAGAAACATTTGCGGCCTGTGGTGCATTTCTTGCAGTCCTGATGCATGGAGAAATGCTCATCTCCTGATGCATGGAAAAAAGGCCTTCACAAGCCTCTGCTAATGTGTACCTAGTTTATACTAAGTGACCCATAGGCTAAGGAGGCAGTGACCGTGGTGGGGGAGGAGGAAGCAGCGGTGGAGGAGGAGGATGAGGTAGCCAACACTGTATTTTATGGTTTTATTTTATTTTTTTATTGTGGTAACCCACAAAATATTGAGACATACAAATAAAGAAACATTTGCGGCCTGCGGTGCATTTCTTGCAGTCCTGATGCGTGGAGAAATGCTCAACTCCTGATGCATGGAGAAAAGGCCTTCACAAGCCTCTGTTAATGTGTACCTAGTTTATACTAAGTGAGCCATAGGTTGAGGAGGTGGTGACCATCATGTTTTTTTTTTTTTTTAATTGTGGTAGCCCACAAAATATTGGAACATACAAATAAAGAAACATTTGCGGCCTGTTACGCAGAGTAGCTGTTGACATTATAGTTGTGCAGGAACTTTGTTGACTCTAGAGAACCTCGGGCAAATCACACATCCCTGTGGCGGCGACTTTGCATGCGGTTGTCATCCATATCAACTTTCGATGCCAGTTTCTGCGCCTACCATGGTGAACACGGGGAATCAGGGTTCCATTCCGTACATGAACCCTGAGAAACGGCTAACACATGCAAGGAAGGCAGCAGGAGCGTAAATGACCAACTCCCGACACGGGAAGGTAGTGATGAAAAATAACAATACAGAAATATAGAAGCATGGAAACATAGAATGTGACGGCAGATAAGAACCATTTGGCCCATCTAGTCTGCCCAATTTCCTAAATACTTTCATTAGTCCCTGGCCTTATCTTATAGTTAGGATAGCCTTATGCCTATCCCACGCATGCTTAAACTCCTCTACTGTGTTAACCTCTACCACTTCAGCTGGAAGGCTATTCCATGCATCCACTACCCTCTCCATAAAGTAATACTTCCTGATACAGGACTCTTTAGAGGCCCTGTAATTGTAATGAGTTCACTTGAAATCCTTTAACTCTGATCAATTTTTAGGGCAGTCTGGTGTAGAGCCACTGACCCGTGCGTGCTGCAGCTGAAACTCCACTATCGCCTGCTGCTGCTCGCACAGTCTCATGAGGCAGTGAGCAGGAAGGCTGAAGTTACGCTGCAGTGCAGACAGGCGAGCAGCAGCAGGGTGACAATGCCAAAAGCGTGCACAGCTGCTACAGTGAATGTCACATCCTGTTCCAAGTTGTGGATCAGTCTGGTAATGGCTTCTGGTATCCAGTACTCTTTTTACTGAAGCTGCATCAGGGTCCTGGCCGCACAAACGCTGGTGCTCAACACCAGGGGGCGTGTGGTTACCCTGCACCTTACCATGCTAATCCATTCCACACTGTGACTCCTAACTTCAACATCAGGCATACTGGGTTCCGGTCATCCGACCGCCGCCCAGACATTGTCGATTCTATTTGACTCTCAGATATGAAGTGCACCCCACTAATGTGCTACCCCACTAATGTACTATTTTGCACCCAAAATCTTTTACTTTTTAAAACTCCGATGTAACCGCGGTATTTGAAGCTTCTATTTGACTCTCAGATATGAAGTGCACCCCACCCCACTAATGTACTAGTTTGCAGAATTCTTTCCTAAGCTGTCCCTATCAGCGGCAGCATCCTCTCCCTACACTAATAAGACCGCCTGTTCGTGCGGCGCTACGCGACTCCATCTTATGTATAGTAGGCATGGCTGTGATGGCTTCTAAGAGCACATGAGTCAAACGCTTGTTGATTGGCTGCCCTGCAGCCTTTGAAAACGCGCCATTAAATCTCCGAACACCGAACTCCAACCCGAACATACTGTGATATGTCCGTGTTCGGGTCCGGGGTCCAAAAACCCTAATGTTTGGTACGAACCCGAACTTTTCAGTTCGGGTTCGCTCAGCTCTAGTAGACACCTATTTGGTGTTTTCAAAGGGTAATTATGTTTTATGTATTTTAGGAACAAGTTCCATCTATATCAAGCAGCCTTTGAAGTAGTGTTATTCCTTTTTTTTCAGGTATATATATATTCTTTCAAAATATCCAATTGCATGGTTTGTTCCATACTTACAGTTGTGTTTGCATATACCACAGATCAGAATTTGGTTAGTGTTCCTTAAAACAATAGGACTTCAGGTATTAGACAATTTAGTTTTATTTTTTACTTCCTCCCCACTTCACTGTTGATTATACACATTTAATAGGAACTGTCTTGTTAGGTAAATACCAGTCCAAATAGTATTTCAGGTTTCTTCTTCATTGTTTCTTAGTGGTCCCGCGAGGCCCACGCTTTTCCTCCTTTTTTGGGGCTATTTCAGCCATAGGCCGTATTTCAGTTATTTGCCTTGCATGTTGCGTAGCTAGGTCTCACGCCCGTCTGGTCCATTCTATCTTGAACCTTATAGATGTCATCGAGAGGCCAATGCCCTGCCTATACGTTTATGACTCCCAAATCATAGGTAGAGCCTCTCAAGCTGCTGGGCAAACTAGCAGGGCCTCATTCGCCCCCATTTAGAATAATATAATATCGCCACTTGGCATTCTTACTAGGCAGCCAATTCCTAGTTATTGGTTGATAGCTACTCATTTCTGTTTCCTTTCCTCATAGCATGTCTAACGTTTCGATCCAGGGTGACGAGTTGTCCCTTCTAAGCACTCCTGCCAGGACAAATTCCCCCAGCAGGAGTCCAAGTCCAGCTTCAAGTTACAAATCTTGGACTATTCCAAAAATCACGGAAGCATTAAAAAGGAAAATGTGCCTTACCCTGCCACCGCTAGGAAAGCGGAGTTATTCAATTTAATGAAAGCCTAAACAGACAGTAACAGGCCAGGTTCCGGTGAGGGGGATATTATTCAGACTTGCCTGTTAGAACTTCATAATATGATGTCATCTCTTACGGCTTCCATTAACACTCTCTGGAAAATTACAACTTGACCAGTGGCTCCGGAGTTACTGTCAGTATTCCTTTTGCCACTACTGAACAGAGCCAACCTACTTCCATTAATGTCTCTGATCCTCCTTACCACATTGTTACTCCAGCCCACCTTGTCCCTCCTTACTTTAAGAAAAATGTTTTGGAAGGTAAGGACGTTAATTTGGTCTCTATGCTTATAGCTTCCCAAGATGTTGTGGACAATAAGTCCTATTCGTTTGGTGATCTATCAGTAGTAATGAAAGCTAGAGATCCAAGGCTGAACAAAAAATTATGTATACCTGAGTTTGTGTTGGCCTTCAGCGTGTTTAGGGATGTAGCTTGCACTATTTACCTACATTGTAGGCAAGAGTTAGATTTGTTTACGAAAATAAAACACAAGAGTTAGATTTGTATTTGAGCAAACTGGTGGTCCTTGGGCATAAGTACAGTGGGTTCGCTTACTTCGACCATAATAAATCATTTTCTCCAATGTGCATTCGGACTGGAGCCAATTAGATATGGAATTATTTTGCAGGCACTTTGCGGGCCTCGAGGTCCCAGGTTGCGCAAATTGCGCTTCTGCTTCACATGCCACCAATCTATGCCCTAATGATGTTAGCTTGCCATCCACAAGTCAGAAAGCTGCACAATACACTTACAAACCACCAAAAAAGGAGTTGAAAAACAAGCTAGGTCGGCCGATTGTTTTTCTTGGCAAGGTGCAAGTTTGTAACAATTTTAATGCTGGGGCTGCGGGTATAGTGCCTGTAGATTGTTACACGAAGGCTTAAGGTGTTTTAGAGCACATGCTAAAACAATGACATAGAAATTAGGTTTGTAATTGGCCTCTAAATTCAACAATAAAACATTTCTTGGCTCCTCATTCCTCCACAACACCTAGCCTGAATTCCTTGATCCCATCTACTGACTTCAACAAAAGGAGAAATGAGTGTCCTAACCAATTAAAATATAACTTTTAATGATAATACTAAAATCTAGTGAAAGTAACTTAATAAAAATAATATTCTAATATTCAAAGGTGTAATTATAGACCAATGGATATATATTCTCTAATTGATAACTTGTCAGTTGGAGAATATGTTGGAGAACCCTATGAACTCTTTGATGAAATATAGGGCTAAAATAGATCCTATTTTTAAGTGTTACAGACCATTGTCTAGTAATATCTGCACAAAATCGTTGCACAATCTGCAATAGCTAGTAGTAACCTTTAGCTACAGTAATGTGTATACATGAAAATACACCAAAAAATATATTAAAGTGCAGTTAAATATCATAGGACCTAATAGATATGTTGGTAGAGAAAAAGTAAATAAACCAAAGTATATACAGAAATATATTAGTAGAAAATAAAATAAAATAAACCAAAGTATATAAAAATCCAAAGTAAATACAGAACAATTAACTGTATTTATAACTCAAATGTGAAAAATCCAGGTTTGAATCATAAATCCATCTGGACTCTTTCTGTAATAGTATCAAATTGAAGTTTCCTTTTCTGGAATTAAGAATGACTCTTTCCAGGGCTTGGAATGACAGACGTTTAGCATTCCCATCATGAAAATTTCAAATGTGGTTGGCGACAGAATGGCCAAATTGAGCCACGGAATTAATATTTTGTAGGATGCGTCTTCTGAATTCTTGATAGTTCTTGCCAATATACTGCTTTCCACATGTGCAGGTTATGACGTAAATCACTCGGGTGGTGCTGCAGTTCATAAAGTGATTAATTCTGAATTATTTTTTGGTGCTTTCACATTTAACTGTTTTGGAGAGTTTAACAAACCTTACACTGTCCACACCTGTAGATCCCCATTGGTATATATATATATATATATATATATATATATATATATATATATATGGATATATATATATATATATATATGTTAACCTGTGCTATAGACACAGAAGTGCCCTCTAGTGGCTGTCAGGATTAAGGGTAGTGGGAGTTGGCACCCAGACTACTCCAATGTGCAGAAGTGGTCTGGGTGCCTGGATTGTCCCTTTAAGTTAGTCAAGAATCACGATCATTATATATTATCTTTACAACATACTAAAACTAGCCAAATAGGTCACCCAGTCCAGATACCTTACTATCCTACAGGTATGGTGCCCCGTTAAAGTGTTTGACTTATTAAAACATTCTCTACATAATCTTAAATCTAATTCCCCTTTACTCGCATTACATGGCAATCCTCTTACAACTCAAAAGTTCATGTTATATGCAAGAAAATTGTTGGTTAAACTTGGTCTCAACCCAGCCTCATTTACGGGTCACTCATTTGCCGCTACAGCAGCATCCAGCCACAATACTCCAACACACATCATTAAAAACATGGGTTGGTGGAAATTTTCGGTATATTGCAAGTATGTGCCACAACCAGAGAAAGAAGTTAGGTTGGCTTTCTGTAATATTGCAATGTAATATCAAAGAAGTGTTTAACCCCTTAAGGACTAAACCAAATGTTCACATTGTGATCAAAACAAAACATAAACAAAACCTGAAATTTGACTATATGTCTGTTCAACCGTAATTAGGGATAACCACACACGAAAAGGACTTGGGAATTGTTGTAGACAACAAACTATGCAACAATGTGCAATGTCAATAAGCAGTGGCCAAGACCAGTAATGTATAAATCACTGGTAAGACCACATATTGAATATGCTGTGCAATTTTGGGCAACGGTTCTAAAGAAGGATATTATGGCACTAGAAAAAGTGCAGAGGCGGGCTACAAAATTAATAAA